TTTATATTGTTGCCAGTTAGTCGAGTAATAAAAAAATATTTTTGGTTATTTTACAAGTTTATAAATGCGTATATAGCCCTTTTACGCTAACAAAAACAACGGGTTTCTTCTACAGACAAGCGTTTAATTCGTTTAGTTAGTATTTCATTATACCATATCAATAACAGCTATTTAATTTCCGCAATTTTCCGATTATCAACCTGTGACAATTTACATGAAAAATTCCGAGAGAATCTTCCCCGCGACAGAATACCTGCTCAACTGTAATTGCGCAACGCAAATAATCGCGTTTGTCAAAAATAAGCAGATAAAAATTCCGCCGGCGTTCGCGCATCCCCCAAATCCTGCCGGCGTCCACGCGTTCCCCCCTGAGAGAAATCCTGCCGGTATGCCAGATGATTGCGTAAAACAACGTCGGGCTGCTGGGCGGGTCGGAGCGGGATGTAACTGGGGAAATGGCGTCTTAAGGAATTATGGTCCGTCGGGAGAGCGTTAAATATCGTAAGGGGTTAGCGTTATCCGCCACCGGTACATCCCGAGCTCGGTGTTTCTATATTGGGTAATGCGAAAACTCGGAGATATCGCGGAGCGAAACATATCTCGTGCACTCTTCCCGGCAACAAAATCTACGGAATGGACCGGGACACAGAGCGCTTACCGAGATAAACAAGAGGATCAGATATAAAAGCAATATAATGGCTATAGCCATTAGATTTATTAAAGGAACGTCTAACGCCGCGGCAGATTGGATTGGATTCTTAATTCGCTTATCTTGCGCACATTTATCATAATATAAGTTGTATAAAATCTAAAGCCTTTATATTTTTCGAAGAATCTTTGAACTGAAGTCACGTTTTAAGCTCTTGAATTTTTATTTTTCGTCCCGCGTCTCTCACTCTCCCTCTTTTCTACAAGATAAATCTTGGTGAAAGACAAAAAAGGAATATTCACTAGCGAGTTTTATACGGAACAAAAAATTCTGCAGGCTGCGCGAATGAAGAGCGTGGAGGGTTGCTTTAAGACGTCTACAAGAAGCGGATATTCCATGCGAGGTGAACACCCCTGCGAGAGTCAGGGTGAAGTCGACCGCCCGGGGCGGAACAGATTTGTACCGGTTTGCGCTTCGAGAATGCAGGGAAGTGCGCAGCGTAATACGAGGGCGAAAGAAACGGGGCGAGTTATCGAAGCTGAAAAATTCTCATTAATTTGCGCGCTGTATCGCGCGAACGAAGGGAGTCGACGTCTACTAAATAGCTCGATATCAGCCCGGTACGGTGTTTAATTCGTCCTGGATATCTGAAGCATTAACTCCCAGCGTGTAATTGCAGACATAAATCTCTGAGGTGGATAATAACGCTGCTTTTTTTATTGCACCATGTCGGTACATGTAAAATGCAAGTGTAGATAAGTCGCAGTACCAGCATATAGAACGTTTTCATAAAGCAAACATATTTCTATGTACCACTTACATACAGATTATACGATAATTATTTCCATAATTAGCATCAAGCTACGGCACCATTTTTGTTAGTCAAAAATGTGAAAATTAATTGTTACATTGTAAGCCACAAAAAATATGAATTTCTACAGATTAAACTACAGAGACAGAAAATAAATAACGGGAAACATTATCCATCGTTTAATTTATACAAATATTTACCGTCCACAAATTTTCGAGCGGTCTACATATCGTATTATATAACCGGATGTATTTTTATAATATTGAATTTTAACAACCCGTTTCCGCTTATAAATAATACAATCAATTTCAAATTTTACTTTCATCATGAGCACTATTAATCGTATTTTGTGCCATAGCATAATTTTCCGATAATTATTCAATAATTCGTTTCAATATCCAATTACGGAGATGGACAGTAGCTCCCAGTCATCCGCACTCTCGAGATAGACAATTTCGATCGGAAATTAGGTCACTGTGTTTACCTTGGCACCGCCACGTTTACTACGTACTTTGTATTATGGCCATGAGATTTGCTGCTAATACCACCTGGTAGATCCAGATTTACGCGCTTAATGCATACCTGACATTCACCGTGTAAATCACATTCTCGTAAAACGAACGCAATCTCCCCACGTAAAATACGGGCGCTTCTTGTTTCGCGATATCGATTTATGCGAATTTACGTTTACATGATAGCCCGTAGGAAAATGCGACCGCGCGAACGAGGTCTACGCGATATAGGTACTATCGCATCAATATTATATCATTATGCGACATTATCCTATAGCTGGTACTATGCATCCAGGGTGGTATTATAATATTGTATGTATTCCAGCAGGCATAACGGTAAAGTATGCAACTTGCAATGCAAATTATTTTTCAAGTATAGATAAACGACATGTAGAACTAGTCATAAAAACCCGATTTATATTTATAAGAATTTTCTAAACTTGCAGATATACATGGTAATCTGTGTGGCTCTTCAATTCTTCAATTAAACAAACGATTAAATTAAGCATTTTTTAATAGGCCTCGCACAGCAATGCAAAAAATATTGCAAATATAAGTAATTCCTTAAAATTATTCTAATTTATTTTTTATTCGAATATTGTCAAAATGCTTTATGTCTTTTTGTATCAATATTATTCCTTCAAGATATTTAATTGTAAGTTGGATAAAAAGTTGCAAAGACGGCATGTGGTCAACTCACAGATACGGATATTTAATAATATTAAAGTAAAATTTGCAGGCATTTAAGCAATCATGTTTTACCGTACATTTTTCCGGCAATAATAATTTTTCATCCGACATTCCTGCATAATGCTCTCGTTCAGATTGCCGTCTGAATTCTATTTAAGGTGACGAAATGTCTCGTTCGGTCCCTCGCAACTTATAACTTAAGGATCGTCGGTGAGAGAGGACAGGCGGGACGTAATTTATCGCCCCAATACCCATCCAGATTTTAATCAGTTTCTTTCCCGGCCACTTACCGCTTATGACGATTCACTCTGACGGAGCATTCCGAGGAATTGAATAATCATGCTCGAGAGTCATTGCCAGATGAAACTTTCATAACTTTAGAATGAATTTTCTCAATGCATTCCGAGAAGCGCCGCGAGCAAAAGATTGCGCGGGTTGTTACTTTGTAATCTCAAGCAAGCTAGATTTTTAATATAGCATGTATGTACGCGCTAACGAGCCTGAAGAGTACCTGCAGAATACATGAGGAAGATAATCTTTTTAATTTTCAACATTAAATATTTTGACAATTACAAACCCAATTAAAATCATTTTAAATTAAATTAAAAAGAGATTGTAGTTTCTCCATCTCTGCATCGCTTTAATCTAATCTCTGTTTTTAAATAGCCGCGTAACGCGAGGCATTTTGTAAAAAAGACGGTGTATACGATTGCCCAGGAAATGTGTAATCCAATATGTTGTAAGCAGTCACGTTTTCTATTAATCAAGATTAATTTAATTAGTCTTGTAGTGAAGCACAGTGGTATGGTATATTATGTTTAAATAAGGTAGTAAAATCGTAATTATACACCAGCGCACCGGATTTGCGCGTAAAATTTATTAATATCCACACCTACCGTATCGGAGACTAAATTACTGCACGTACGCGTTTGGCATGATAATATAAAGCGAAGTGCGAAATAAAAGCGCCGGATGATCTACCCCATGTTCCGCGATGTAACTCAGCGACGTCAAATAATATCCGTAGCGTAAATATTCGGCGGATGCAAATGTCTCCGCCCGATACGTTGTAAATACAAAATGATATAAAACCTGGCGAATACGTGAGAAAACGCGGATAGTTATGAAACGCACAAAACATTTTTGTTTGCAGATTATAGTATAAATTCAAATCTCGGTGTAAACAAATAATGTGCGAAAACCTGTAAAGCGGAGGAACGAGCGTTCGCGCAATGTAATATACGTAACGCGTGATCGAAAGATAAATACAGATTCTCGGAAAGCTATGTCAGCGAAAGAAATTAAATCAATAAACGATGCGCGCAGATAGAAGTGTCGTAAATAAAATATAAACAATAAATAAAGTATAATGTGTGAAATTAAATAAAACAGTCGACGCATGTACTATTCTGTTGTATTTTTCGTAAATAACTGGACATGTGTCATATTTGCGATTTCTCTTCGCACGTTGCTCATTTAAGCATACATTTGAATTTTAAAAGGTTATTATTATTTACGGGAGAGAATTATGAAAAAAGAAAAATTAATCTCACATCATAGAAAAATTAGACAAAATGAAATCCTTCGCAAAAAATTCCAATATTTGAATATACTTGCAGTCTCTTGTATCAAATAATTGAATCATAATTTTAAAGTTAATTCAATTTTCTTTTCAAAACTACTTAATATATAAAATCATAATGTTTTAAAAAGATTTAAATGTAATTATTATTTTTTAGCAGTACAATTTCTTTTTAACACAAAATATCATCACGGTCGATCATTATGTATATCTTTTGATATCCTTTTTAAATTAAATTTGCCTCGTGCCCGATCGTGTAGCCCCTTCATTAATTTTATGGCAAGATTAAAAATTCCTAGCGCCCATTGAACGTGGTATTTCAGGATACTGGAGAAAATGGTTGGGGCTAGGCAGTCGGAAATGTTTGGCAGAATATTTCACGATGGTGCAGCGATGGTACGTGATGGATTTTCGAGCGCGGTCTCGATTTCGCCACTCGATCATTCTCCGATCCAATAAACACTGGATAGGTGAGCTACCTGCCGCGCGTACGGAAATGAGAATCGGCCTCCCTTACCTGAATGGAATCTTTTCCAGCTTCCCGCAGGATATTCCGCGGGTGCGTGTAACCCGGGCCGTTGCTGTAGAGCAGCGTCGTGTAGGGCTGTCCGTCAACGTCCGACACCTTGCTATCGGAGCCTGAGGGAGGAAAAAAGAATCGATCAAGCGATTTGTCGGTGGGAATTATTGATGATTCATTTTACGAACGAATGGCTCGAAGCAAACGAAACTTGTAACTTTACATTCATCAACACGCTCTGTCGAGGTTCAATGCCATATCGTAAAACGTCAGCCATCAAAACTGATTTAATTTCACGCTCTAGGCAGTTCAAGTTTCCCTGATGCTTGTTAAGAAAGTTAAATGGTCTTGTGTACGTTAAATACCAATGACTGCGGAATGGCTCTCTTCGAGATTGCCACACTTTCGGGCACTTTCTCTCTCGGCCACAATGGCAAACTTCATTTATCCAAGTTTCTCGGGCGCAGCACGTTTACTTTATTACCGTCAACGGGTCGCTATTACGCAGCGTCGCCCGAATAGCCTCGCCAAGGACGGACGGATGGTTAACGGTGGAACGGATGAAAAAAGAGGAGGCGGAGAAGAAGATGTAGGGGAGACTATGAAGCGAAGGGGGATGAGTAGAGAGACTGCGGGACATGCCCGACGGTAGATATGTTTTATTCAAGGGGCTTTCTTCTTCTTCCGCGCGCAGCCACCTTCAAAAATAGACCACCACCGCCACCGCGACCGCCACCGCCACCGCCGCGCGCCGTTTCAGCCTGTCCGTCGTTTAACAATGTATAATTTAACCGTTTATTTGCCCGTGCGAACGCGCGAGCGTTCACTCTAATCGAGGCTGTCGGTGCCGCTTCTCTTTAAACTCCCTCTCGCATTTTACGCCCGATAGACCGAAACACTTTCTTGTTTCTTCGAGTAATTGCACGCTTGTTGCCGCGGCACGTCATGACTCTTGACTGGAGGCGCATATATATACATCTACCGTTTCGCGTGCCACGGCACGGCCTCGTCGGCCGACCGGGAATAACGAGAGAAGTCTGGGCGAAGGAAATCATTCATAATCATCCGTCAATCTGTTTGTTAATTTTATGCAGGATCCTCGATGGAACGAGGTAATTGTATTTACCATTATACGCTACTGTGCAGACGAACGCGAGGCTGTCACGAAATGAGAACAACTTGGACGAAGTTTTTTCAAGAGTCGCGAAACCGATATCTATTTTTACATTGAAAGCGGCGGAGCTTTGGAAAATATCGCTGCCGATGACGGGCGAGTTAACCAAGATTTTAAAATACTTAATTTCGCATCAATCGAGTTAAAGAGCTCGCTGATAAGGTTGTGTTGAATTACGCGAGAAAAAGAGACGGGGAAAAGAACGACCATCGTTACGGTAAACAGCGGCGCATCCCGCTGATGCTAAGCACTTCGCGGGGGGTAGGTTGTAACACTTTAATTGCCTATCTGTAACGTCCGACCTGACGTGTAATACCCGGCATCGGGATAGCGAAATGCGCCGCTACTTCAGGCTGCCCGACAGCGTCCGGAACGAAATGAGCCTTTGCGTTCCTTTCGAGCGCGCAGTTGGAACTCACGAATTACACGTTAAGAGCGGGGTAGAGGGAGATCACGAAGTCAACGAAGTAATATCCTGCAATCTGCCTCTAGAGACTCGGTAAAGTCCGAGATAAATGGATAGGTACGTGTGAGTGCGAAAACTATATCGTTCGAAAAGCCAATAATCTTTTGTCGATACAAATGAATCCTATAAAGTTACCGAACTGAAAAGCGACATAAAGTGGCGATTACATCAATAAAAACGTATATATTCCCTCCCTGTGAAATCGCTGCGCGGTTCTCCGTACAGTTAAATTGTATATATGCGATTATAATTAATTAAATTCTATCTAATAGAACAGTTTGTAGCGCTTTCTTACATTTACGTTCATAAAGGGGCTCTACATTTCAAGTGGACAAGATAACACTGATGGAGACACTTTTACAAAACTTAATAGAAAACGGACAGAATCGTATAAGTTAAATTGAAGAAGAAAGTTATAACCCGCAAGTTAATATACAAACACGGCTAACCAGTGCTATGCTAAATATACAGGTAAGTTATTCGAGCAATTTGAAACTGTACAACCGCCAATTGCCGGCTCCAAGTTAATCAAGCTCGAAAGAAAGCTTAGCGCCCACTACGCTGCTACACTCGCGTTCAGTAAATAGCAGAGAGATACAATATGGCGGTTAATTCTTCTCGGTAGTATATACAACTATTTTACTCCGGTTGTTTACATAGCACTTCGCATTTTAGAACGTCGTGAATAATACCCGATGCGCTTCATCGCCTCGTGTTACATAAAGCTACGTAATGTAAAATTAAGGACGGCGCGGCGGTTACGAAACGCGACTCGCACTTGTGAAGCGTAATATACCGCGCGCAAGTAATTAAGGACGATCCTCTCGTCGAAGAAACGTTCCGCGTCGTGTCCACCAAGTTTCTCAACGATATTGAAGCGTATCCATGGGTCACGCTGTTACGGTAATACCTTGTACAATATTGTTGAGCCGATTATTGTGCCGATATTACGCCATTAGATATTAATTAATGCCACAAAGTATCATCAGAGACCACTCCAAAAAGCAAATTCGCCAGGCGGATTACACAAACTTGATTTCATGCTGATAATAGCAGTTATCACGTGGCATTTAATAATGTAAGGAAAAATAACATTTGTACGTAATAATACTCGATATAACCCAATTCTAAAGTTTCAGATACATAAATGTATATATACACAACGATAACAATCTGCTAGCAAAACTTGTTATAAATATATATTCTAAATGTTTATAATACATGTATTAAAATAATAACTCGTGTAATATCTTGCAATTATTGCAATTATTCTCATAAATAACAACAAAAATAGTAACTTTATAACAATAAATGATCGTACCTTAATGGATGTAAAGGGTGAAAGGCAATCGATAAATAAACCGAGTTCGTTATAGATAAAACTGCACAGTTCAGTCGAGAGAGCTGAATATAATAAACTACATATAAACAAAATACTCCAATTCAATCGCGTTTGTGACGCATTTTGCGCACCGCGTTAAATGGACAAACATCATGTTTTAATCTTTTAATCGAGTTTTTAAAAATATTCGTGACGAATGCACACGAAATCGAGATCTCGAGTAGGAATTTCACGGGTGAATCTCTATCCGTCTCGAGTCTTCGTGATCGCGAGCCTAACCAGCAGCGATATCGCCGTGTCTTATATGCGCACATAAAAGAATTCTCATCGAGCCTCGACATAAAAGTCGAGGATTCACCGCGTAATTTAACTTCCCGTCGGCGGGGCGTACCTTCGTGAACGGCCACTATCGCATAACTTTCCGACTCCGTGATATGCTTCCGTGATCTTATATATTTCTAAGTTAATGGGTCGAGCCTCCCGTGGATGGCGTGCCGCGAGCCTCGTCGTCCTGGCACGATAGGTCCGACAGGACGTACCCCAACTGATTTACGAACATTTCTCGAATTCCGGCGAGGGACCGCCTAAAATATTCTCGCAGCAGCGATACTACAATTTGATAAGTTTCGGTAATTGCCATATATTTATCGTAAGCAACTTAGCAATTTCTGTCTAGTACAAAGAATGTGAGAATTATATACCGGAGCAAGGTATTTTGAATTAATTTCTTTTCAAGAGCCTTCCACAGTGGCATTTAAAACAAATGTAAAACGTATTGCCTAAAAATTTTAAGATTTATGATCAAAATAAAAAACAAAATGTTTTCTTTCAGAAATATTATAATTTTTACTTTTCTATAGGTTTTTATATTTTAATTGTTCGAAAATTCCTTTGCCATCTTCTCCTTCGTATTTTAATTAGAGAGAATTATTATATTTTTCTATCTACAAATACAAAAATAGATCTTCAGTAATGCTAAAATACTTCCTAAGACTCTCGGCATTCAATAAAAATTCCATTTGATTTGTTTGGCGTATATTATATGCTAATCATGTCATACATCGCATGACGGATCGTCGTATGAAAGATCCTTTTCCTCAAGAACCCTTTTTCAATATCTCGTGCGTTTGGACCTGACGTGCCGGACGACTAATTCGAGGTATTCCAAGAAGTTCACGATTCGCTTAACTGAATTCCGTACCGTCCTGGAGCAATGTGTACCACGGCGTCGCAAAAACATTACGCTATCTCTTCGCACCCTCCTGAATTTATGGTGATAAATTATCGCGATCGAGATAAACGCACTCTCCGGATTGCCGGCCGTTACTCTTCACTCTGACCCATTTCTTTGGAATGCCAACAGTCAATGCCGATTGGCATAAGCAAGAAGCATTCTTCCGCTCGAGTGGCAAGCAACCGTCGTAGCTCTTAGCGAATTAATCGCGCAGCTTCCATCTTCCCTTGAGTGATCCCGCAAGCTCATTCGTTCGAGACTTCTCTAAAATGTCTTTATGTAAATTTGTTGACCGCAAATGCAGCAAACGTTACACAGGTCGTGTCAGTGTTACGGATATAAAGGGCCAGATGTAAGAAGCAACTGCCATTACAATCTAATTTTTTATCATCAAGAACTTTGAAATGGCAATCTATCGAAATGCGATAATATCTTTCATACAAAAAATATTTTTACGCGTTACATCAAATATACAGATATGCTAATAGCTGCATTCAGTTTATGAATACACATACATATGCATCTCCATTTTTATTAATAACATTACTCTCAGAACTCCGCGATATCATAGCTTTTATCGCAATTCCGTACCACGTAAAACATGCCGGCATTCTCTTTGTAGTCAATCAAATGTCATTCTTTAATCGAGCAAAGTTATCGCATGCCGCCATGTTTGCCCTCTGCACTACGGTTACCTTGTGCACTTATTCTCATTTCAAGCTACACTTTCAATGACTTGCATCTCACAACCGCAAATATATAAACTTTCCAGGTTCCGCTTTATGTACGTTATGTACTCATTAAGAACTTCACGTCGCGCTGCTGCTCTTTGTGAAAGCATTAAGACGTCAAGTGTCTCGCGAAAACCTCGACGAGAAGCTTCGCGAAGAAAACACTTTAACC